AGAAGGAGGGGAACGGTATTTAATTATTTCCCTTGCGGGAGAGAACAGCGAGGAAATTTCAATAAATTTGAATCGCAAACTTACAAATTAAATTCGGCCGGAGTTCGTACGGTGTCTATAAATATTGTTCGGGAATTTTCGGCCCGTAGTTTTTTCCAGTTAGAACGTTCCGCGCGAAACGGAAACCGATTAACGATACGTTGGAGGAAACTTCATCCGCCGGTTGAAATATTGCTTTCTAAAAGCAATACTGTTTCTGAAACCTATACACCGCGCGAAAACTTTCTCTATTATTTCGTTTGCCGTATTTAACGCCGCGCGCCTCGCCGCTTCGTGGCTCGCGATCATTTCTGATGAGATACGAGTCCGATAACGTTACTACCGGCGAGTATTACTTCATCGAGGAATTCGATAATCATTTTAGCCGAATATCGATGGATATTCGAGGCGAGTTTACGATGTATTCTTTAGAATGATCGTTTCATCTTTCGCTGTAGGGTTTGTCGCGACGTGAAAGTATTCGCGGCGCGAACGATATGATGCTCGTCTGTGCGAAGTTCATTGCTATGGATGATCTTTAGGTTAGCAGATGAAGGCGGGACTTCTCTTGTCAATGACGAGTGACAGGAGTGATGGAGATTTAATTTAGCAATCAACGTTGTTCGTTAACGACGGATCGAAGTAAACTATTTTGCTATTTTCGTGTATTTCTTCCAAATTGATAGTCAAATATTGCACGAAGTTAGCAGCAAAAGTTGTAAATTGAGCTTGGTAGCAAAAGCTGTTTGTAAATTGAGCTTGTTAGCAGAAGTTGTGAATTAAGTTTAGTAGCCAAAGTTGTTTTTATTGTAAAATCAATGTTGTTCATCGGCCACGGAAGCTTGCCAATGACGAGTGACAGTCGCGAGGAAGATTTAATTTAGCAATCAATGTTGTTCGTTATCCATGGATCAAAGCAAACTATTTTGCTATTTTCTTGTATTTCTTCCAAATTGTCGATAGTCAATTATTGCACAAATTTAGTAACAAAGTTGTAAATTGAGTTTAGTAGCAAAAGCTGTTGTAAATTGAGGTTGGTAGCAGAAATTGTTGTAAATTGATCTTAGCAGCAAAAGCTGTTGTAATTGTAAAATCAATATTGTTTATCGCCCACGGAAAATTGATTGAGAGACGTTTAGAAGGGTGAATTTACTTGGTAAACGTTGAGAACGTCGATAATAAATAGTCTCTCACCTTTCCCCGTGTTCGATAAGTATAATCAGTATATTTCATTAAATTGCTCGAACCATCTTCGCCAACCGTTTCCCTCGCGATTATACGGGTGACGGTTTAAAAGGAAAAAAGAGAAGTTGTTTCCAGTTTATTAATTATTATCGAGAGCTCGTCGACTGCGCGCATTTAGCTCCGCGAAATTCGCCGAGCTTTGCGCCGCGCGCTGAATGCTTCACGAGACTTTCATGAAATCAGCAAAATTGTGCGACTGCAAACATCTGTGACACTCGGCGCTCGGTCATCGTATTTGTCCATCGAGTTTATTTCCGGGTGAACTCGGTAATTTATTCTCGTGCGCTTTCCAATTACAACGTTCCTCCCCCGTCGCGCAAAAATTCTCGCGCTTCTTTGTGCCACTTTTAAATGCTGCACGAAATATTCTTTCCGCGCGGGGAAACTCGCGGAGGGTAGTACACTCGAAACGTAGTTTGCTTCGTTCGCGAGAAAATTCGCTCGAAATTCCTCTGATAAGAACCGAACCGATACGTCGGATCCTCGCGTGCGATTTTTACCTTCTCGCTTGAATTTTATGTTAACGGTAGATTCACGGAACCAATTTGACGGGCGTTGAATTTTTTCAACATTCTTCAGCAACAGTTTCACGCGTTAACCCTTTGCACTCTAGAGGTGACTCAGTCACCATTTGATTCGATATAACATAATTACAAAGTGTTATATATAATATTAACCCTTAGCACTCCAGGTTGTTTTGTAATCAGCAACTGCAACTAATTTTTATAGTATTCCCAGCGAAAATTAGAAATATAACATTTCTTCCATCTTTTATTTTCCTTAGTACAAAATTTTGATGTGTAGAAAGTCTAATAATTTTAGGGTAGTTTCTTGAAGTTTCATTAAAATATTTAATATTAGAACTGCTGCAATATTGGAGCCTACAGAGTTCGAAGGATTAACTTTCGTATAATGCATCAATATGCGAGATATTTCTATAAAACAGTTTTGTTTCTTAATTTATGTTTTCTCATTAGTTCGTTTCAAATGTGATATACGTCTCATAGCAAAGTGTCGAATGTTTCTAGTGAAAAGCTCCTAAGTACAAAGGGTTAACCATGTTATTCATCAATGACTTCTGACTTACTTGAATATCATAACATGCAAGACAACCGATGTCGAATGATTAACCCCTTGACGTACTATTTATTTTCGCTGCCAAGCTCGCGTAACATTTGACTATCGGCAATTTAGAAAAGTAGCAAAATTTCTACTCCAAGCGGAAGTTTCATTCGAAGATAATACATTGATAATAGCGAAGTAGTTATGTGCTTTGATCCGTGAAAGATAATATATTGATAATAGCGAAGTAGTTATGTGCTTTGATCCGTGAAAGATAATATATTGATAATAGCGAAGTAGTTATGTGCTTTGATCCGTGGACAATGAACAACATTGACTGTCAAATTAGTCTAGAAATCTTCATCGCGAGTCTCACTCGTCATTGTACAGCAAGGGGTTTAACAATTCCTACCTATTCCCGTTCGTTTCCTTTGAGAAAATATTCTAGACTTCCAACGGACTTCGAACCGCGCGGTATCACATTGGAAATAAAGGATCTGAGCGCATCAGGAGTTCGGATATCATATCACCGTGATATTAAGGCGTACGAGCCGTTTGATTGCCGACATTAATGTCACGGCATTCCGCGTGTTTCACGTTATTGCGGGATCGGTGTGTATCGGGCCACTGAGCCAGAAGGGAAACGTATACTTTCCCGAGAGTTGGCAATCTTAAGAATGTAATGCTAGCAGCTATACATAATCAAAAATGGAACAAAGGGGCTGCTCCACTTTCGACCAATTGTCCAGAGTTTGAAAGAAAGTGACGTAGAAAATCAGGCCGTAATACAATCGCCCAATGAAGAATGCGAAGAGGTTTTGTGTTTAGAAGGAAAAGGAGGAAATATATATGCCTCTCCGATTTTCAGCGTTTTCTTTGTTACCCGAGAGCTCGCCTAACGGTTTCTTTATATTTGTTAATCGACGTCGAGAACTATTCGCGAGTACCGTTTGCTTTCACGCGAAGTACTTTCTATCCGGCTGCGTTTCTATTATATAATGTATTATGTATTATATATTACGTGTATAATATATATATATATAGATGTTTTTACACGATGTCGATTTCATACAAACGTCATATACGTTTCCGTGGCATTCTACGCTGCAGTGGCCGTACCTTTCTTATCTCGCTGCCATTCTATTGCATCGTGTACGATCCACCTTAACGATATCAGCAACGTACAGCACACTTCGATGTTGTTCACAGACACCGCATTATATTTCCAACGGAAACGACTTTTATGCTTTTAACAGGTCTCATTTCACGGCGGCTTATGTGCGCTGTAGGATTATATGGCGCGGCCGAACTATCGCGCGTCGCAATGATTGAATTTTAAGTAAGAAAAAGGCCTTGCTGGTGAAATACGCGAGAGGAACGTATAAAGTATGTATTGTGTAAAATATTTGCATCGTTCCGTTCGTTCGTAGAATTATTCGAGTCGACGTTTAGTTGTACGAGTTATGAATATATGAAGGTACGAGCATTTATCGAACAATTTGCGGGAAATAAATAATAATTGACGTATTGATTGTTGCGTTAGATGGATATAGTATAAGCGTTGCGAACAAGAAGTCGCGTGTTACTCTTACATGATAACCTCCCAGCTACTGGTAAGGAGACATTTCTAACGGCGCCTGATTTTCGTTACGCGTTACCTTCTTGTGATAATTTATTATTAAACAATCAATATTTAATTATTTATTATCATTGACAAGAGATATGATGCATTGGACATTTTATGGGATTTAGTGTTCGGTGGTACGAAAATTTGCGGTTTAGACTGGTAGCGACATCCGTGGCGAAACGGTAAAACTGGTAGACAATTGTTACCGACGTAGAAATTCACCAGGAAAGACAGTTGCGTCATCCGTGGCAAACCGCTGAAACTGGTAGACAATTGTTACCGATGCAGAAATTCACCAGGAAAAGACAGTAGCGCCATCTGTGTAAAATTTTTCGAACTGACCGACAATTGTTACCGATTTTTGAGTACAGTTTAATTATTTGATCATAGATAGCGCCACCGTCGTTAGGAGTGAGTTTCCACGTCGGTAACAATGGTCTACCAGTTTGAGCGTTTTGCCGCCGATGGCGCCACCATTCAAAAATCAAGATTTTCGGAAGCAGATAAATCGTGCCGCCATTTGCACTGTGTCTTATGAGAATATCGGCGAGAATCATTCGCGCCGTACATATTAAACATCATGATTCAATAATAATATAATGAACAACAGTTTCCTCGGTATATTAATAGATTCCCTATCAACATCATAATATTCCGAAGATTTTCATGATTAATCTTTAGTCGCAGTTCCTACGGAATCTAATCTCATCGAAGTACCCCCTCAAAACCAGCGCAGATTTGATAGGAATAATGAGAGAACAGAGTCGATTTCGATAAAAATTCTATAAATATATGTTTATTTGACAGACAAGAAATATAGAAAACCGAATTCAGACTAGCCTAAGTAGAATCGCTAGGAGTATCACGGGACCTCCGACGATCGCGTGCAAGGAGGCTGCAACACAGACGGAAAGCGATCGTTTAAAAAGTCAGTTCACGAAACCGAATTGCGATGGTACAATTAATTCTATTTAACCTTTGCTGCAGTCCGGTTCTCCTAGTTTGCAAAGGCACTCGCCTCGCCTGCATTCGAGCAGCCTGTCGTCGTGACTCTTGCAGTCGTAATCATTCTTACAGGAGTTGTACATGTCTGAAAGGAACCATGACAACGAGATTAAAAAAATGCCCATCGATGCGACAGCTGAAATGCAGCTCTTACATCGCGTCTGTTCACATTTTCCCGTCTGGTTAACAAAATGGTAATTCGAGAGGCACCGGCAAAGTTCGTCGATGCACATTGCCCGACCTAGCGCATCCTGACAGTCGTCTTCCCTTTGACAACGATCGCCCTCCTTTGTCGGCCCTGCAACGTCCGGTTCATTACGTAATCGACATTTTCTTGCATCAGACCTAACAGACACCCTAACCGTTCGCCACTCACTGCTAATGCAATTCGACGAGTTCCTGTTGTCCAAAACATAGGTGTCCTGGCAGGCGCATTTCCCTTGTCTACACCTGGCGTTAGTCATCGATCCGCAGCTATTGTTATCGGCACAAGGCGCCCCCTCGGCTGAATCGGGGAAACGAACGAAGTGGTTTGAGTCATCTCAATAGCTACCATGATGATAACATCACTAATAAGAGAATTCGAATGTCCCTTTGATGGGTGGAATTATCTCCAAAAATGATAAAAATCCAATAACGAAAGACTGTTGTATCATTTTCTTCCCCAGATCTATCACTGATAAGAGAATCATTCTAATGTCCCTCTGATGCATAGAATAATGTCCAAAAATGGTAAAAATCCAATATTCAAAGACTGTTGTATCATTTTCTTCCCCAGATCTATCACTAATAAGAGAATCATTCGAATGTCTTAATACTTTGACTGCCAAGTATACACTCATCGAAACTCCTACGCAATCAAAGCAATTTCTTTAATAACGCTGAAACTAAGAAGTCAATATTCTTCGTAACGATTGCTCTACTATCTTTCTAGTATCTCACATCTAACAGAATTCAGTTTGTTCGTTTCATCACCGAGAAAAGTAATGTTTAAGTTTATGTGAATCATGGTGTCATCCGAATTCGGGTGACATGGCAGCCAAAGTGTTAATGCACAGAATAATCAAAAATGGTAAAAATTCAATACCGAAAGACTGTGTATCATTTTCTTCCCCAGATCTATCACTAAGAAGAGAATCATTCCCTTAATGCACAGAACAATCAAAAATGGTAAAAATTCAATAGCGAAAGACTGTATCATTTTCTTCCCCAGATCTATCACTAATAAGAGAATCATTCGAATGTCCCTTAATGCATAGAATAATAAAAAATGGTAAAAATTCAATAGCGAAAGACTGTGTATCATCTTCATCAAGACATGAATTTTTACTCTAATAAATACACTCACTCGGGATGCACATGGCTTTGTCAAGAGTAGGCGAATAATAGGTCTCGCAGACGCAAGTCGTCTGCCCCCAGCAGAACGCATGGGGAATGCAGTTGCGGTCCCTCACGCACCGTTCCCCGAACTTCGCAGTGCCGACTCCCAGATTGACATCTGAAAAAAGTTCACAGTTCTACACAAATCCAGCCTCGATTCGTTTGCCGTCTCGAAAGACACTTGAGGAGGCTGTTCAACCTTGCCCGAGACACTCGAACAGTCCAAAAGCCGCGCACAGTAGAACGGCGACGAAACTGTGGCTCTTCATCGCGGATGCAACGAACTCACGGGTACCTTTCGTTACGACTGCGATCTCCGCGCGATATGGAATCGTGGAACGATTGCGGAAGACTTGTAGCGTAGATAGCGGTGCACGCCCTGCCCACGATAATCGTTATCTTCGTCGTCTTGGCAACCTTCGTGTATTGCTCATTACAGATCTGATTAATAGTCGAAAGAATGTTGGGCGATCTAGTTTGAGAGATCGACGGAAGTTCGAGGTTCGACTCGCGTCTTGCAAATCCTGCAAAATCATCTTCGTTCTACTTGAAAGCGTGTAGAGTTCCTTAGTTCTCTGCAAACTAGAACCTGGCGTGGATTTCTGTTCCTCTGTACCTCAAACGCATTATCAAGGAACTAGAAATGGGTTAATATTCTCGTTCTCCTTAACCCTTTGCGGTCCAAAGTGTTCTTGGTTTCTCAGTTTGAGGTTCACGTCGACGTTAGTTCATTCAATTACAGCTTAATATGACGTTCTATTTATTGAAGGATATTTGGGAGTCCTTGAAATGTTACCTTTAAGTGGTACAATTGTGATACTACAAATAAATATAGAAAAAATTGTTAAAACAGGTAGACGTTGCAATAAAGTAACCATAGGACTGCTAAGGGTTAAATTCAAAGGCATCTATGACAGAAGGATAACGCGAAATTTGAAAGAAGCTGATGTTGAAGGAATGATAACAGATCAAATGGCCCAAAGAAGTCTGAAGAACACAAGGGACGAGCGCAGTACAGAATCTAATTATCTGCAAGACTCCGAAGAGATGAAGAGTTCAGCATTGCTAAATTAACACTAGAGCTACCAGATACAGCAAAATGACCTGATTTCTTCTGTTACAATTACTGGAAAGGTCAGATGCTTCTGTGAGAAGTCGGAAGAAGTATACAAATGACAGAAGTCTAAAGAAGTCGACTTAGTGATACTTATAACGAAATCTAAGCCAATCGAAGTCTTAACAAATACACAGAAGTTTTACAAAGAAATTTAGAAAAGTCAGTTGAAGTACTCGGTAGTTTCGTGTATTTATTATTTCGATTACCTTAGATTTCGTTATAAGTGTCACTAAATCAACTTCTTCGGACTTCTGTCATGTTTATACTCCTTTCGACTTCTCACAGAAGCATCTGACCTTTCCAGTAATCGTAACGGAAGAAATCATTTTGCCCCATCTGGTTCTAGCGTTAATCTGGCAATTGGAAAACCGAAGCGTCTTCCCGAACTCTCTGAAAACTTGAGATTTCCAACGCAACCGTTCGTTCGAGGACACCAAGTCGCGATTCGCCGTCGTCCGCGGTGTTCCCGTCGCGCGCGGTCCAGCGGATTCAGGAAATGCACGGAATACGATGGAACACGCTCGTTGGTACACGGAGAGTCATCAGCTGCCGGGTTGGAAGAAAATCAGGCTGGTGGGAGAATACGGTTAACCGCGGCTCGTGCCGGCTTCGCGTTCCTCAGTCGCGCGCTATCGATGCTCGATCGCGAACCGATACTTCGCTGTCCGCGACCGAGTGCACGTCGCCTGGAACACGAACAGCAACGATGATCGCCGTCGCGGAACTTCGGAAAGGAAGCTTCATCTTTCTTCTCGCCGCTGTCCTCTCGATCTTCCGGACAGCCGCTGCTCAACTCAACGGTAACGTTCAATTCCTTTGAGTTTGCGATTCGAACGGGAATTATTCGTTTAGATGAATTTCATTTTATATAATTTCATAATGATTGGTGGGTCATATAGATTAATATAATAGAAAATTACAGGTACAATGGAACTTCTGATCTCTGTTCTTTAGTTGTTTAGATGGACTTCATTTTATACAATCGAATAACAATTGGTGGGTCATATAGATTAATATAATACAAAGCTGCAGGTACAATGGAACTTCTGATCTCTGTTTCTCAGTTCGTATAGAAACGCGAATTATTCGTTTAGATGGACTTCATTTTATATAATTTGATAATGGGGTCGTATAGATTAATATAATACAAAGCTACTTCTGATTTTGATTTCTCAGTTATTTATATAGAAACGCGAATTCTCCACGATTTTTCCAAGTATCGCGATGATTTTTCTGTTTCGTTAATACTTTGCATCGCGTCTATTGTTTCCTCGTATGTCTCGTTATTATCTTTCTTTAGATTCCACTGTTACTTTACCACGCGTTCTATTATCTCCTCCAAAGGTCCCATCGTTTTTCCACGCGATCCACGACTAGTTTCCCGCGTTTTTCCGCGAGTTTTAGCACACGGTGACCGCGAGGCACCGATTACGCACAGGATGTGCTGTCTCGAAAGTGTAATTAAATGTTGACCGCGACGACTCGATGGACATCGAAAGTCTCGGTGCTTTATCGCTCGAGCATGAATCTCCGAGCTGGAATTTTGGAATTTCCCGACGGTGTTGTTGCTCTTTCGATTTTTCTTTCCCGCGATTCCAGTGAAATGGAATTCAGGATTCTGGAAATAGAACGCGCGTGGGAGGGCGAACGGTCGCGCGTCTCATCTCGTCGATTGAAAGGCGTATTTGATAATCGATTTCACGTCAGTAAGCTCGGCGGTGACCGACGTATCGATACGATTCCATTACTCCGAAAGAAACGAACGCGTGCCTCTTGTGTTTAGCAAACGTACCGGCAGCTGGATTGTGTACAAACGTCGATGACTAACGTTTCGAAACGAGAACGACCTTCACGCGTCGTCGAGGAGAGAAAAAGCTGTTGCGGAACGTTGATCGATATGCTGATCCTCGATCGAATTTCTATGATAACTGCTATAATTGTCAGGACGCGAAGTATCTGTAATTTTTCTGCGAAAGACGCTTGGATTTTAAATGCTTCTCTGTGAACGTTAGCCATCGATTCGCCGAACCGCTTTCAGTTACGAATTAGAACATTCTACGCATCGCACGGTTCAGAATCGAGAAGATAGAAGAAAAATTAGAAACGTTGGATCATTGGAATTTAATTATAGAGTCGCAGGTTTTTGGGAAATTGCTCGAACGCGAAGTATCTGTAATTTTTCTATAAGAGATAATTCGTTGAACCGCTTTCAATTACAAATTAGAACAGTCTACGCATCGCACGGTTAAGAATCGAGAAGATAGAAGAAAAATTAGAAACGTTGGATCATTGGAATTTAATTATAGATTCGCAGGTTTTTGGGAAATTGCTCGAACGCGAAGTATCTGTAATTTTTCTGCAGAAGACAGTTGGATTCCGAATACTTCTCTGTAAACGTTAGCCATCGATTCGCCGAACCGCTTTCAATTAGGAATTAGAACGTTCTACGCATCGCACGGTTAAGAATCCAGAAGATAGGAGAACTGGAAATGTTGGATCGTTAGGGGTTAATTATAGATTCACAGGTTTTTGGGAAATTCGGCGAACGTCGGTTCATTTCTGGCAGGCGAGAAATTTTATTTGGAAAATTGAGAAAACGTAGAGAATTTGAAAAATTAGGAAAACTGAGGAACTAGGAAAATTTGGGAAACTGAGGAATTAGGAAAATGGGAAACGTAGAAAATTCGAAAGAACCGAAGAATTTATAAAATGTCTAGTATCATAGATTGAAGAATTCAAAAATAATTGACAGTTGGAAGATTCGAATTCTAAACTCGCAGGTTTCTCGTTACAGATCCGCCGATCCCGTGCAAAAGCACGCAGGACTGCGTCTCCGTGTCAGCTGCGCTGAAGGACGCGTCCTGCCAAAACGGATTCTGCGCGTGCAGCAATGGGGCGGTAGTTAGAAACTGTTCCAGCATAGCTCTGATACGGACGAGCAACAGAAACGCAGGTAAATCATTCGAAAAACAGTCAAGACTCCGTTCGAATTTGTACTTCGCTTGGATGTTGTCTAAAAATCTCGTCGTTCCTTCCAGGATCGCCAGGCTTTCACAGTTGCAAGGTCCCTCAGGATTGCATATTCAACAACTCTTTTTGCAACACGACTGTGAGTCGATGCGAGTGCCAGAGAGATTATGTTTGGTCAGACAATAAGAAACTCTGTCTGAAAAGTAAGAGAAAACATCCTTAGTAGCCTCCATCCGTTTGAAAGTTGATTCCGTTCAGACTGGAACTGTCGAGCATTTATTACACAGAGTGTTAATTCTGAATGTTAATTGCAGTGTTAAATCTAAGCAGCTACATTGTTTCCTCTATTATGTGAACTAAGAGAAGATTGATTAAATAGGATGTTTAAGTAGAATTACTTTTATTGCCATCAGATGCACGAGGTGAAACATCCTATTGTTACGCCTTGAAATAATTTAGGTGCTAGAGTCAAAATTAACACTCTGTATACTATACAAGGATATATTAACCCTTTGAACTCTGTAGGCTCCAATATTGCACCAGTTCTAATATTAAATACTTGAATGAATCTCAAAGAAACTACCCTAAAATTATTAGATTTTCCACACATTCAAATTTTGTACCAAGGAAAATAAAAGGAAGAAATGTTACATTTCTAATTTTCGCTAGGAATACTATAAAAATTAGTTGCAGTTGCTGATAGATTACAAAACAACCTGGAGTGCTAAGGGTTAATATTCTTATTCTTCTACAGAGTGTAAAAAGCTTCCAAGCTTCGTTTAGAAGTCAAACGATTTGTGTCTATATCGTTTCTTTCTACATTATTTGTTTGTACATCATTCGCTTCCAGATCATTCACGTTTACATCATTTACTTCTAAATCAAACTGCCCTAAAATCAAACGATTCGTTCCTATATCATTCGTTTCTACACTATTTGTTTCTATATCATTCGTTTCCAGATCATTCGCGTCTAAATCATTTATTTCTAAATCAAAGTCCCCTAAATTCACTGTATTCCTCTGCAGAGGCCGAAGCAATGGAGTACCCGTGCGTCGACGACAAGCAATGCCTGGCATTCCTACCGAATACCACGTGCAAAAACGAGCGATGCAGCTGCATCGATGGTTCCCATTTCGCGGTGAACGCCTGCTACAAAACGATCGGTAAAACTATACTTCCGACCGATGTGTCTCCGCGAAATACGTTTCATCGTGATCCCTGCATATTTGTCCGACAATGTAAAAACCGAGTGTACGATTTCGATAGCATTAGGCGATCCCTGCACGCGATCCGAGGAATGCGCCAACGTGGCCGGCGCCATTTGCACCGACAGAGAGGTCTGCGACTGTTCCGCGGGAACTGTGATCAACTCCGCCGGAAGTACCTGTCTGCCGGTTGCTAAAGAGTTCTTGGCTGAGTGCGAGGAGGACAATCAGTGTATCGAAACGTTCTCCCAGAACGCTGCCTGCGTCGATCAGGTGTGCAGGTGTCGGGATCGGTATCATTTCGAACCCGAAATGAACAGATGCTTCGTGAATACAGGTAAATCGTTTAACCTGTTAACTGTGGAATTTAGTTTGAACAATTTCTCGTTTTGCATGTAATCAAATGAAAAAAGGAAGTGTGTATTCACTTATTTGTCAAACGCAAGACGAATGTGGAAAAATGAAGAATTCATTGTTGGAAGAATCAGTACCATTTTAGGCTTTAAGATAACGTGTATACTCGTCAAACACAGTTAACTGGTTAAATATTTCTTTCTTTTTGAACGGTGTCGCATATTCTTGTGGATTTTGTGGTAATACGAGTTATTTCACGGTATTTGAATGTTCAACTGGCAATGGTACTTTAGTAGACACTTAAAAGATTCTTTTCGAATAACCAGGAATCAGTGTACTCTAGTATTTAAGATCAGTGTATTCTCAGTTTTTCTGTGCAGAGAGATTCCAGAAATTCGAAAATGCTAGTTCGTAAAGAGTTAATAATGATGGCACTGGTATTGGCGATAATACTAATACCAAAGCTAACAGACATCAATCGATCAACAACCAATCGGCCGAAACTTGAGATTTACCGCAAAATCAACAATAGAAGCTACTATCATTGTAAATCCTACTATACAAAAGCAACAATGCTGTTGGTTCGCAGAGCTAGACGGCACCTGCGGCAACTCGTACGAGTGTTATCAGGCCAGCGAAGCGAACCGCACGTCGAAAGGGGTGCAATGCGTCAAGAACGTGTGCGTCTGCGCGAAAGATTTTTATCGCGAGGATGATGCGTGCATCGCTAACGAAGGCAAGCCAAAGAAACCATCGTTCCATCGAGGTCCCGCCTCGATCTAGACGCCAACGCTGCTCATCCTTCGTTTATTTCCAGGTTCGCGCCGGCTGGGATCCCTTCTTCTCGCCGTTCCGCTCGCGGCCTTCGCGCTTTTCCACGGAATCTAGGCCCCGCCGCACCTCGACGGATCCGCGCGACGCACGTCGCCTTTACCCGCGATTCAGCGCGGAAAGAAAAAGAGGTCTCTCTCGAGGACGGCGTCGGATGTCGCCGGCTACGCGGCCACCGCGACGAGAAAACGCGTCGGGCGCATCGAAGCGTGCAGAGAACTTCCTCCGCAGGAGAGAAACGCTCCGCGGGCGCCATCGCGCGACATATTCCACCGTGATCGCGAATAACGCGTTCAAATGCCAAAGAATCGAATCTCGCGATCGACCAAACGATCTTTCCCTTGTTAACATTCGTCGATTCTCTTTCGGAAGATTTTCTCTATGAAACAGGAACTTCCTCTACAAATTTATCCACGCGAGGCAGAGTTTGAACATTTACAAACAGTGCTTTTACTTTTCCAAATATGTATCGGAATTCGTTGATTCGTACAATTTCGTACGATTCGTTTCTTTTATGGTCACTGGATATTCAACATTCGTACGAAGCCACAACAGAGTTTGTTTTTTAGAAAGCTCAAGACTCAATGATTCGTATATGCAAAGCTATGTGAATTTTTCCTTTCAAAGTATTCGTGCGGTCGTCCTGAATATAGGACAGAGTTTGAACGTTTCAGTGCAAACAACGCTTTTCCTTTTCAAATATGTATCCAAATTCGTTGATTCGTACAGTTCCGTACGATTCCTCTTCTTTTATGAAGCTCACCGGAGATTCAAGATTCGTACGAAGCCGTAAGAGTTTCTTTCGATGATTCGTATATGCGAAGCTACGTGTATTTTTCCTTTCAAAGTATTCGCGCGTTCGTCCGACGAATGTAGAATAGAGTTTGAACGTTGGAACAGCTTCAGCGGTCGCGTGGAAGGGTTAATCACCGTCTAGCGCGACAGGAGAACGATCACGCGAGAAATCCATGGAAACCGGAAACACTTTCGCGACGAACGTCCAGCCCACCGACGCGACGCAGCGAGGTGCCAAAGGTATCCGGCGTTATCGATACATCGCGCCCCACTTCCACGTTACACACCGGCGGAAATGTTGTTCCGCGAACGCGGATATTGCGAACAGTATTCCCCTCGATCGCGAACGCGAATCCAATCGAAGGGATACGAACGTTACTTGTTCATTTCGTTTTACGATCGCGGCGTTCCCTCCAGCAGGGAATCGATATCAGTTTCGTTTTAGCTAGGAGAACGTTCTTCGGAACAGTTTTTAGAGCATGATAGAGTATCGTAGTTTCTTTTGTACCCGTTTCACTTCGTTCCGAACGAACCTTAAGACAAGTCTTCCTATTTTTTATAAGAACAGCGTCAATAAAGATCGGATTGCTGGCACGTGTTCTGTTATTTCCGAACTCCTCGACACTCTGATTGCAAAGTAAACATTCGTCGAAACTTCTGTGTACTCGAGACAGCCCTCTTCATTAAGCAGACACCGAAAAGTCAAGATTCATCGTGATAATTGCTTCCTTATATCCCATACAAACTCCGTTCGATACGTAAGGAAACGAACGTTCAAGCCTATGAAAAACAGTATCACGAATTTCGATGACGTCACACTCTTAATTCCAAGAATATTCATGAAATAATTATGAATAATTCATGAAATTTCTTAAAAATAAAATCAATCACAGAAGTAAACCGTATCCCAGCTCCCAGGAAACGATCATTCGACTCTTTCCAGAACGATCCCGAACATCGATCGAACCTCTCCTATCTCTCCAATCGACAGTGTCTCCGCGATCGATAAAAATAATGTAGAAACTACAAAAAGTAGTCCAGCAGGAGGTACGAAAGTTACTCGCAACGCCGCGGCGTGTCGATCGCGTCGATCGGCCGAATCGAAAGTATGCGATGACACATCGGATCCTCGTTAGAGCCGCGGATTTCATTGCCGATCGTTATGCTTGAGACAATAAATGACTCGCGCGGTCCGCGGCATGACTTATCAACGACGTGTCCCGATTAGATAAAGCTGTTCCCCGGTACGTTGCCGTCGAACGTTTCCAGTCGCGAGAGGATCGCTCGCCGCGGACCGTGGCTCGTGAAGTTTCGCGGAGGCAGGATTTCGGCGAACGGCAGCGAGAGACGAAGGGAGAGGAAGAAGGAGAAGAAGAAGAGCGCGAGGAGGCTGAATTACGGGTTCGAAAGGGCGCGGATATGGCGGGCTTCGTGGATCGTCTCCCCACGGGAGGTGCTGCGCTGTCGATCGGCCTCTGCTTCTGGCTGGCCGCGCGGAGTGCAGTCGTCGCCGCGCACGGACAGCACGAACATCTGCTCCGTAGACGTGAGTGTGAACACGACCCAGTGGGATTCCCTTTCGTTCACCTCTTCCTGCCCTTTTACCCGCTCGCTCCTTCGTCCTCGCGGAAGGAAACTTCCGCTCGGGGAAATCGGAGAAGGCTGCGCGTATCGTTCGTTCTCGGTTCGGACCGTTCGAGTGCTAAGTGCCAGCCTGTCGGCTAAATTAGTTTATAAACTTGTCTTTGGATTCTTTCGTCCCCTTTCTGTTATTGTTGCCTTGGGAATTACATTGCGTACCGGATAATTATTAGAAAATTAAATTGTGATTTTCAGTGATCGGCTCGTAGGAACAAATTTAATTTATTTAGATATTTGCTGATTGTTTTGTTCCCTTTCTGTTATTGTTGCGTTGGGAATTACATTGCGTACCGGATAATTATAGGAAAATTAAATTGTGATTTTCAGTGATCGGCTCGTAGGAACAAATTTAGTTCATTTAGATATTTGCTGATTGTTTTGTTCCCCTTCTGTTATTGGTGGATTGGAAATTACATACCGGCTAATTATCGGAAAATTAAATTGTGATTTTCAGTGAGACTTATAACTATCTATAGAAAACTCAGGTATTTTTATGTAATATATTGTAAATGGAAAGTTAGTTCTAATCAAATTTGATATTTCCTTAAATGCTGTGGTAAATAGGAAGTTATATAGCTAGTCTTTATGTAAAAACGAGATTTCTCGTTACCAGTACGCAATGTGTCAATAAACGAAGCGATTGTAGTGTTTAGAATTATTTTATGTAGAAACAGAAAGTGATTCGACGTGTTTGGCACTTTTTGACTTTGACACTCGGACGTACCGTGAAATGGTGCAGGACTAGTTTTAAAGTTTCATTGGAAATTGCCCGAGTTTCGTTTGAGGTTAAGTCAATTTTTATAGTATCTGGTTAGTTTTTCTACCTTGGTTTTAGAATTAGTCATTTCACTGGTTAAAGTAGGTGCAGATGTGTAGACAGTGTCGGCACGTTTAGTGTTAAGCAGGTTTTCTTCAGGTTTCTTGGACGTTTTGGATACGTGACTCTTATTTCCGGTTTCTTCGTGTATTCGCTGTAATTAAGTGAAACCATTTCAAACCAGTTTTAATTTGTGCGGTAGTTCTATTGTTAGCAGCTTTCGGGAGATTTTTCTGGTTCCGAACGGTGCTGACATGGTCGTTGATACTGTCGAGGTCACCGTTGGTTACGAAGTGCTCGTGTCTCTTTGACCTGTGCTTCTCTGAGGAATTACCTGTCGAGGAATCGTGTTAGAGAAGGAAACAAGGAAGTTTTAGTGTGTTAGACTTTGAAGGTAGAGCAGGAGCTAATCTAGTGTTCATCTTGCAACCTTTATCTTTGTACATTCTATCGAGTCAAGTCAATTACCTCAAGAAAACAGAAATTGAGAGAATTAATCTTCCTTCTGGAAGCATACTATATAACTATAAAAGTATAAAAAGAAAGAAAGAAACTATAAAAAGATCTAGAAATAATGAACAAACGGGTAAATCCTGTAACAACCAAAAAGCACTATCCATTCCATTCAAACTAATAAAACTCAGAAGACATCGAATCATCGACTCAACCACTGACTCATACGAAACATTCGTCATCCATTCACAATATCCAACATACAAATATACAAATCACATTCGATTCAACCTCTTCAAAAGACTGCCAATTGCCATCAGCACCTAACTCACCTCATTAACCCCTTGACGTACTATTTACTTCCATCACTAAGCTCATGTACCATTTTACTATCGACAATTCGGAAGAAATGCAACAAAATTGTCCATCCCACTTCAAATGGAAGCTTCATTTGAAGATAATAAAATGATAATAGCAAAATAGTTTGCTTTGATCCGTGAGTAACGAATAACATCGATTGTTGTCAACACTAGGTCTACGGGCATTTATTGTACAGTTTATTCTATTGTTCCTGGGAAGTTGATATCCGTTCATTTAGATTTTGTAAATTGTAGACGTAGAAATAGACAATCAGGATTCATATTCGTGTAATTGGATCAACGAAAATCGATTGAAACATTCACCAAATAATGTTTCTAAAATTCAATCCGCGTCGAATTGACGCGTTCCGCAAACCTAGTGTTAAATTAGTCCAGAGATCTTCATCGTGAGTCTCACTCGTCATTGTACGGCAAGGGGTTAACACTTCCGTTCACGAATTCTCCACTCTACACTCAAACCATCACATACATCCGACATTCTAATTCATCCTCATCCTTCAAGTCTGAAAGGTTCATTCTGCCGTTCGTTGGCAGATCCAAATCGATCGTTCGCAACGACCGATCAAACGCGATTGTCCACGGACGAGCCGTTCGACAGCTCGATTTGCCGGCTGCCAGTTCGGTGATCTCCTAGAAAGACAATTTCACGGGTCGGGAGTAGCGCGAGTTAGCGAGAAACGATTGAAGCGGGAATGGTTGGGAAGCGGGCCCAGCTAGCCGGCTAGCGATCCTTTCTTCGCCGCGGCGCGGAGGGGGCCGGATCTACGCTGCTGGTTCTCACAGTTAGGTGAATGTCGGGTTGGAACCGCGCGCATAATTAAAGAACAGGGGAGATCGTTCCCTCCCGCCGGCCGATATTTCGGTCTGACGCTCCGCTCGCGAGACGGGATTACGGAACACGGCTCGGAACAATGCTAGGCTGTTGCGCGATATATCCCCGTCGGCCAGCGACACGCGATGTGGAAACAATACAGGCGACGTTTTGGCCCTTGCCGCTGGGACTACCGAGTTTCGACCGAACGGGGACTAGAGGGTTTAATAATTGTCTGAACTTGCGTGTTAGTTTCGATCGCAACGGTTGGAGGGAATTGGGATAGGAAAGTGTACCGGTTCTGAGGAGTATTTGTATTTCTTTCAGAACTGGAAAATGATGTGGGACTGAGATCGTGTTGATTTTAGCTGTGCAATGGACTAGGTTTCGAAGATAATTATTTGAACTTGTTAGCTTCGATCGAAACTGTTGGAGGGAATTGGGATAGGAAAGTGTATCGGTTCTGAGGAGTATTTGTATTTCTTTCAGAACTGGAAAATGATTATTTTGGGACTGAGATTGTGTTGATTTTAGGTGTGCAATGGTATGTATTGCTAGAGGGTTAGTCTTTCAACCCATTCGAGACGGCGATTTTTTTTCGAACACTGTCCCCAGGAGCGAAGGACATAAGGACATTATTATTATTGTACACACGGTGTGCAACCGGTCTTGCAGAAAATCAATTGCACACACGGTGTACAATTGGTTTCGAATGGATTAAGGAGGATTGGTTTCAATTTTTTTAGATGTTACTAGAATTTGTTGGTAATATTGCTTTGGTAACTGTTGATTTTTTAATTGTATATGAAAGGTTGGAGATTTGTAAGAGAAAATGCGTATTATCGTTTGGGAACACCTTGCAGGAATGAAGCTATCGAATAGGTGTGGAAATACAAACATGAGCGCGGCAATCGGCGATAACAATGAGACGGAACGAATCGTAACGGTATTTGGGGCAGCCTGACGCTGGTTTCTTTTTGTATTTAAATTGAGCACGGGAGATTCCGCTGGGAAACACGTGGCGCTTCTGTGCAGAGTTTTTATTTTATCGTTTTCCCGGTTTACCGGATTTTCTGAGAGAATGTTCGTTTCTGAAACTCATTTCCTTGCGAATATGTAGTGTCACGTAGTGTCAGCATGTCGCAGCTGTCCTTCTTGACAGTTTCTTCGGTCGATTCGAATGTACCGTGGTCGAAATTGCCATTGCCCGGTGACTCACGAAGATAATTTCCGTTTTACGTTATTCGATACCGAGCGAAGTAGTCGTTATGAATTCGATGAGCGTTCGATCGATGACTCGACAAGTGTACCGTTCAGTTGAACAACCAAACGTTAATGTCATCAATTCGCTGCAAACAGATCTTCTTGGTTGTCCATGTGATTCACCGCCGTTCAACTTTCTCAGATTCGTGTTTCATAGTCATTGAAGGCTGACGTATTCATTGCTAGCCTACTCAGCGGTGACTAGCTCTTTCAGATTGATTGGAAATCATTATCATAAGACGTTTGATGTTGGAACAATGGCCATAGAGTTTATAATAAAATTTCCAAACCTCTGAACTTCCGAACTTTCAAACTATCAAAGTTTGAAACTTCCAACCTTTCAAACTATCAAAGTTTGAAACTTCCAAACTTTCAAACTATCAAAGTTTGAAACTTTGAAACTTTGAAACTATCAAATTTGGAAACTTTCAAACTTTCAAACTTTCAAATTTAGAAACTTTCAAATTTTTAAATTTTCAAACTTTGAAACTATCAAATTTTTAAATTTTCAAACTTTGAAGCTATCAAATTTGGAAACTTTGAAACTTTGAAACTATCAAATTTTCAAACTTTCAAACTTTCAAACTATCAAATTTTGAAGCTATCAGATTTGAA